TGCCAGGTTCGAGTCAAGATTTCTCTTATTTACCACTATTTCTTTGCGCCAGGAAACTATTCTTTTTTTGTGTTGCCGAGAGGTTAGTCCTTGACATGCGAACCATGCGAATAGTATGGTGTTCTGATGTGGCCATTTCGGAATAAGCGAAGGGTGAGAGGATCCTACGACTGCAGTTAGCCTTGGCCCCATCGGATAATTGACTAAACGTTAACAAAAGGCTTAAGTTTAGAAAGAAATTTCAGTTTGAATAAAGACCATTTAGCTATTGGGATATGGGCGGTCGGTATCTCATGAATTTGTGTCACTTTATTTGTTCGCATTGCCTTAAGTAAAGAGGCAGGTGTTTATCCTTCGCGAGCTGCACTGTAAGGGTAGTTATAACGAACGACTAATACTTATTTGTACTGAAGGCGTTTTCATATGGGAACTTCGGACGAGATTCACCAGGAGTTGTGCCAACGGGTGATGCTGTTGGATGGAGCAATGGGTACCATGATACAGAGGCACATGTTGGACGAGAGCGATTTCGAGGGCGAGCGCTTCATCGGCCATCAACCGTCCGTAAAAGGCAACAACGACCTGCTATGTCTGACTATGCCAGACATCGTGTATGGCATACATCGCCAGTACTTGGAGGCAGGCGCCGACTTCATAGAAACGAACACCTTCAACGCCAACCGAGTGTCTCAGGCCGACTACGGTCTTCAGCAGCTTGTTCCAGAGCTGAACGTTGCGGCGGCGACGATCGCCAGGAGGGCGACGGCTGATTTCCAAAAGGCAACAGGTGAGAACCTTTGAATTGTGAGTGATAAGTTAAATTTAAAGAAGCTACAATTAAAATGTCAATGCAAGTTATCGATCAGCAAGATTTTTTTATTCATCTAATTCTCTTCCTTGTTTCTTTTTCCTTTCTATTTCCTCTTATCTCCTGTCTGATTTATTTCAAAGATTCTGATTTCTTTTAATCAGTTATCTTCTTATTCTTCTGAACAAAGATTCCTGGTGGAAAACTTATGTAAAGAAGTTCAGCAATCATTTTAGCTGGACTACTGCGAAGGTGGGAATTATGATAGTGACCGTAGCTACGAATATCATCTGCATATTGGTTAGCAGTGGGCAACAGGAATTCATCAGACATGCATTTAGGGATGCGGTTTCATACCGTAATACGAAGTAGATTTTTTCTACTAACCGATTATTTTCTCGACCTAAAAATTCACCTCACTGTGCTTCGATATACTGTTCTGAGAAGCCGATGCTAGGTCATTTGCCTGCTAATAATATTGGCAGCATGATGCTCTGTTGCGGTCATCAGTTCGAATGTTGTCGCCAGGATTTATGCTATACGTCCGCTTTACAGATGCAGATCAGCTTGATTTATATGAAAGCTGACTAATAAATAGGCACAAAATGTAATCCGTAATCACTTGAATAGACATACCTAGAGAAAATGTAGTAATCTTTTTGTTACGGATTGCCATCAACGTCAGATTCAGGATGTACTGCAATTAAATATGGATTTCATGTTTGAGAATGTTTTGTCGACCGTGGATGGCGACCTCTAACTCTATCGTTGATCACAGCGGGCATCGATAATTTTAAATAGCTCGCACTTCGGTTAAAACGAATAAATATAATGATCACAAAAATATTCTATTCACACATCAACGTCTCATCAGGTGAAAGCATAAATTTGCACTGTTATTTCTGATCTTGCATCAGTGTCAGTGGGTGATTTTTCTAAACTGCCGTTTGCAGAGTTCTGATAGTAAGTCGTACGTAAGTCTAGTCGAATGCCCGGACTAAAGGGTACTGATCTGCAGTCAACCTCAGGCAAGCTGATTATTCTGGAGTGCAAACAGGCCATTTGTAGGTGACAGTCCTTCCATTTGACGAATGTATCGCTGATCGATGAGGGGTGGTAAAAGATTGGTCATTTGATAAAACAGTTCCGAGATATGTTGGCGATGAAATCTTTATGCCCTGAATACTTACAAAATGTAATGAGTCAAAGCTGAAGTGCTATTACGAAGTTAGTAGGAAAATTTTAATGGCGCAGTAAGTAGTTAAGTCTAATATTTGAATTTATGAATATGCTGGTTAAAATCTTATGCTAATCTGTCATTCACTTTAAGACCATGTATTCTAGTTTGAGGCGGCTTGCTGTCCGTCATGTCAGAATTATGGACTGAAGGTACTACAGCGTGCTCAGGGAAACGCGTCGGCAATAATCTGTTAGCAGCTTCGTTGCTTGGTTCCCTCAGCTATGAAGCAGCAAACTATCTTCCATTTCAACAGCAAATCTTAAATCGGAAATTCCATGTCATATATAATGAAACTTGATTCGGACGATTCACTCTTTTTGCGGTCAGATACGCCGGTCTTTCGGTGAAGATCATGGTTGTCAGTCAACAGGGCGTTATACTGCCAGTTAAACGTTTGCGGGTTCGCTAATAAACGGCCTGATAAACTACTTGTTCATCCTTCTGTGCTATATAAACAATCACCATGACGTGGGATAAACGCGGAAACTCTGTTGTAGTGGACACTTAGCTGTATACATAATCTTAGTAAAAGTATGGCATTTCTGACTAATGGCATGGTGATACACAGGTTCATGTTTTCGCTATAAACGCCTTGAAAATAGCTGTTACAAATTATGAAAATATATTGCAGACCAACATCCTTCCTGGTTTCCATTAGCCGATCGTGGTCATATCAGTTTCATTTTCCAAACGATGTTTTCTCTCCAAAGGGCAGACGACGTGGACATGTTTATCGTGTACTCTATTATGGTATAAATACGAGCAATACTCATAGTCCTTCCTTTCAGAATTTTGGCGCGAGTATATTCTCTGTTCTTCCATCTATATCAAAGACATGATCAGATCTGTCAGTCCTTGTTCCCGAACTATATACATCATTAGCCGACCAACCTGAGTTTATTTACGGTTTAATGATGACCAGGGCAGTTTGATGATGACCAGAAAAGTTGTTTGCGCCGTAAAATAAATCGAAGGAAGGTGAAGCGATTGTGAACAGATGATTGTTTTGTCAGTTGGCATCATCATTGCTTAATCCTTGTTTTTTCATATAGGAAAAAGATGCTACGTTTGCGGTGCCATTGGGCCGACCAACAAAACCCTGTCATTGTCGCCGTCCGTCGACCGGCCGGAGTACAGGAGCATTTGTATGGCGACGACTTTGTTACCTACCTTTTCCTATTTGCATTCTTTCCCTGTAGCGTTCGACGAGATTGCTCAAGCGTACGACGAGCAGATGCGCGCTCTGATATCCGCAGGAGTCGATGTACTGCTAATCGAGACGATCTTTGATACGTTGAATGCGAAGGTAAAGAGGTTTGTCTTCCTTGATTGGTACACGTTAGCTCTTCGCAGAAAGAATATTTAGCAGTATTTTTTTATATTTATTTGTTCATTGCACATCTTCTGAGGAAGAGGTAGTCATAGCTATCTCGCAAGAAATCATTCCAGTCTTGTCGCTGGGGTAAGAAAGAATTATAATTATTGAGTACGCATGATCGTTAGTCAAGAACCTTTTGCGCAAACTGCATCGGACCACATCTAGATAGATAAACGTTACGGGGTCGTTTTTGTCATGCAAGAATCACGTCATTTTCAGAAGAAGGTAAGAGTAAACGGGGAAAGATATTGAGCATTAAAACTTTGATTTGACAGTAAAAGTACACTTGTGAAGCGTCTTTAATGTAGCGATTTTCTGCGTAACTTCACATAGGCTGCAATCTTTGCTGCTTTGACGTTGTTCGAGAAGTTGTCCATAAAATTACCTTTGTTCATCTCTGGGACGATCGTGGACAAAAGCGGTAGAACATTATCAGGCCAAACCGTGGAAGCATTCCTCATCAGTGTCGCTCATGCCGAGGCAATGAGGTAAGTGCTGTCCCTTTATTCTTTCAATAATGTGAACCAGAATTAATTGCTGCTCAACTTCAAGCATTGGTTTGAACTGCGCCCTTGGTGCCGAAGAAATGCGTCCCTTCATACAGTCCATCAGCCGCAGCACGTCCGCCTATGTTCTGTGCTATCCGAATGCCGGTAATCATTCCCTAGTTGAATTGTGATTTGTTCATCACTGTGCTTAGGATTTCCCAATACGTTTGGCGAATACACTCAAAAGCCGAACGAATTTGCGTCGTTCATCAAGGTATAGATTGACCACTTTACAACGCCACGTCATTCAAGCATTTAGCAGTCGTTTAATCAATATTGCATATATGTTTCGCCTCTACAGTTTGCATAGGATAGGTCTTTATGTCAGGGGTCATATTTAAAAATTTGTTTAATTTTGTAAATTATGAGTTGCATTTTGTTTTCATTTTCAGTCAGTCATCTGGTGTTGATACCTCTTTTTCAGCTGGCTTCGTTGAAGCTCAATTGACGAATTCCTTGCTTAAGAGATTTAGCAAAAGTAAAAGAATTCACGCGCGTTGGGGTACTTTCTGAACGGCTTTGGTTCTCTTTCCCACGTTATGCAATTTTGAAGTTACTGAGGGGAGGACTGTGCAGCAGCGAGGCATATATTGTACATGTGGGCAGTGCAACAGGTGCTTCTTCTGTTCAGAAGATAGACACTATGATGAACAATGGTTTGTTTACTTCTTTCTGGTTGTGCGCGACACTAGTGGCGTTTACAACATTCATATCATTCCGCTACTCGATGTCGTCAGTCTTATTATTACTAAATTTTGCATAGGGCGCTATCCATTCTCTTAGCCTAACCAACATGTTTAATCAGAATGAATACTAGGTGCTTTTGCAAGACCCACACTTGATTTTCTACTTCTTCTTAGAAATTGTCTCTCTGTTTCGAAAATGGACCGTTTAAGCCAATTCTGGAAGTTCTAATCTGCCGTGACTTCTCCGGATATAAACGTTGTAGTTATACCCTATCCTTCCCTTTCGTTTTAGTGGGCTACCGCTCCATGATATTTAGCACCGACTGTGCATAGGTAGAAAACGACACCACTTTTTTGGGTCGAACAAACAGAAATGTGTATAAATATAGCCCTGGTCTTCTGGGTTTGACAACAGACTGCTAATTTTCAATACAGCCGGTAAGAATAACAGTCTCCTGAGTTGCCCAGAGTAGTCGCCTCGTCTCTCCTAGCTTCTAGTAGGTTTGGTACCGTTTATGCGTTCCACGTCTCCGTGGTGTTTTAATACCTAGAGTGCATGGGACTAAAACAGCATCACCTTTTATTATAGTAATATAATGCTCGTTCCATGGTACGAGGCAGATATCGGTTAAGCTAATGATCATGTGTTGCAGGAGAGGGGTGATGACTGTCCCATCATACCCATTCTTGAATGTATGACATGGTTAGGTCTTTTTAGCATTTAAGCATGTTAGGATTATTACTGAAGTGTCCTAGTCCCATACTGGTCTGGATTAAATGACTTAGGTAGCTGTGTCAACCTGACCTATTAGAATTAATGATTGGCTACGTATTGCTTAAAGATTGCGCTCCTCACCATACTCTGCATTATCAACAGCTTTTACCATCTGTACATTCTGTGTGATGGGGATACCGTCTTTTAATTATGAGCATCGATGCCAACAATATGAGCAATAGCGACGTCACAGCTGGTGAAATTTATAGCCATACAGCCTAAAGCACAAGTTTTATGGCTTTAGAACTCCTGGACTGTCATTCTAGTAGATTTTATAGCCTAATATGTGTGTTGTAAGTAGAAAATATCTCTCTTTAGTCAAACGTTGTTCACGTCAAGCCCTATCATTCTCAGGCACCAAAGCCTGTAGACATAGTGACGTTAAGCTGAAATAAACCCCGTAGGAAGTTTCAGTAATCATCTTTGTCGTTTATTCCTCACATGAAATATCAATATCGTTAAAGGTGCCATCTTTCTGTAGATTATTTGTATTTACAAGCGTAGGTAGATAAGTAAGCAACACATGGAACATTTTTTCACATACGTAGAAATCGTTCTAAAAATATGATAAAAATCTTATGCGTTAACTGTCGTATCAAAATGATTAGTCACTATCTTCCTTTTTTGACAGCCACTGTATCGTGCCGCGTCGAAAAGACATTGCTTTGTTACGTCTCTAGTAAATTGGAAACAGTGAAATATGTTGTTGACAAATATGCCATGTCTAGGTTCAATGAAACCGTGGGAACATCTTATAGCCGTCGAGAGGCTGTAATACTTGTTTGAACATAGTGGTGTTTCTGTTCCATACAAGAAGAAGGGAAATAAAGAGAAGATGATGGTGATGAAGAAGAAGGATTGTAACCGTAATTTTCAGCCCAGATGGAATTATTGAAAAGCCAATTCTTTAATCAGTACATTTTCACCTATGAGGTGTGTTTGTCTCACGAATGAAGCGTATCTGTTCCCTTTTGTACATTATGGTGCGGTTATATATTGCATATTCTGAATGTACTTTTGTCACTGTATATGAAAACTTATATTTTACTAGGAATTCGTTGCCGATGGTTTGGTGAATATCGTCGGGGGTTGTTGCGGAACAACGCCACAGCACATTTCAGCGTTACGAGAGGCCATTGCAGCATTGCCTGCGCAGCCTCGAGTTCCTCCTCTAAACGTCAACTCTGATGCGATGCTCCTTTCAGGTGATTTTGTTCATTCTTATTCTTTTTTAAGCTGTAAATTTGTTTCAGGCTTAGAGGTCACTTACATAAGGCACGACTCGAATTTTGTTAACATCGGTGAAAGATGCAACGTCTCAGGTTCGCGTCGATTTGCCAAAATGCTAACTTCTGGGAAATTTGAGGTAAGGAAAGCATGTGACCGTTAGAATGTCGTTCTTCCTTACACTTGCATTATGGAGCGATCCTGACGCACTTCTATCCATGAAGTTGATTATGCGGTGCGTCTCTATACCATTTGACAGGAGCACGTTATTTTAATGGCTGAGACCAGCTATATGGCACATTTAATGTGTATCCTCCTATTTCCTTCTCACAGGGTGGTGCTCATTTATCAACATCGGAAAAAGAAAGGCAAGTAACAAACCAAGGTTTAAACCCCGCACCTCTTAGTTCTGAATTGGACGCTCTACCGACTGAATTATTCTGGCCTCTAGCAACATGTGATAAATTCTTACTTAAGGGATTCATAAATTAGACGAAGATTGCTCTTTATCGGAATCGAACCCCCCAACCTCAGATTTCGAAGTTGACATTTGAGGCATTGTGTCACTACGTCAAGTTCAGGTACTGTGCCGCTCCGTTGAGGTAGCAATCATATCAGAGTTTCTGAGCGTTGTGCTTCGCTTCCTGTTCCTTCCCTTTCGCTATTTCTTCTGCGCTTTTTCTTCTCTGTCTTTATTTCTTTTTCTCTTTTTCGTATTTTCTTATCATTTCTTATAGTCTTTTCCTGCTCTCTTTTTTTGTTTTCTTTTCATTATATTTTTTCCATATCTTTTGTTTTTCTCTTTCCTTACTTAACGTGGTTTTCTAGTTTATTCATTTCTTTGCTTTTTTTCTCTCTAATCTTTTTCCCTTTCTGTTCTTCTTCTCTCGTCATTATTTTTACCTTATGGATCTTTGTTCAGACATTTTCTGGCTAGTGTTAGCTGAGGAATATATGTTCCACCGTACTTCACGAAATCTTTCTTTTCTGTGATTAAATTGTTGTCTTATGTTTATGACGTGGGACAGAGATCAAGGTTTGTAATATTTTAGCCATTGGTTGAACGAAAATCTAAAATTAGTCAATATTGTATTCCTCTAAACAATACTTAAACTTTTTTGATTCTTGTGTTATTACTGTATACCTCTTTTTTACCGCAATTGTTTTTAAACATTCTTCAACCTTTTTTGGTTCACTGCTGAATGATGCCCTCCAAGACTTGGCGATAGACGTCCGTTTTCCGGAAATTTTATTCTTCTTCATTCGTCCAAATTTTTCAGCTAATCCTGCCGTTGATTTGGATGTCTTCTTACGGGCCATATACGGTTTGTACCTAGTCTAAAATATCTCTGATCCCGCGGTGGTCGGTTCTTCTTTAAACATGTGCTGCCAGTTCCCAACTTTTTCACTCAGGCAATAAGACTCTGGTTTCTGCTCTTATCCATTAGTTCGACTTCCTATTTTATCTTGTTTTTTCAATATACATATTTCCATGCTGCGTTGCCATCTTACTTTACCTTCTGAGGTAATAAATTTTAATGCAGCTTAAGAATTTCACAGTCTTGACTACAGATGTTAGGCTATCACTTTCACACAGCCATTGTTTATCACTGCTTCTCTACTACATTTTTTTCAAGGTAAGTTTTGTGCTTTATTCTTCATAAAGTTTGTGTTAAAGTCACTAAACCGTTGTTTTAGGAGTCATTGAAAGTTGCTCAGGACCAGGTTGAATCAGGTGCACAGATCTTAGATGTCAACATGGACGAGGCTTTGTTAGACGGTGCGGCGATGATGTCCAAGTTTCTGAATCTGGTGGCCAGCCACCCGGATGTAGCGAGGGTCAGTGAGCATATTCAATCAAATGCGATATGACGGCGGTTGTTTCTTAGGTACCTGTGTGCGTCGATTCATCAAAGTTCTCGGTTATCGAAGCAGGCCTGAAGTCGTGTCAGGGTAAATGCATTGTCAACAGCATTAGTTTGAAGGAAGGCGAACCGGAGTTTCTTCATCTGGCACGACTAATTAGAAAATACGGTGCGGCAGTTGTTGTCATGGCTTTCGACGAAACCGGCCAGGTAATACGTGTAGTAAGTAGGATGATGGCAAAGTTTCACCAGTTATTACATCTCTAGGCAGTCGTACCTGAGCGAAAGGTCGAAATCTGCGTTCGTTCGTTCAACCTGCTTCGAAGCGTAGGATTTTCGCCCTCAGACATCATATTCGACCCCAATATACTGACCATTGGCACTGGAATGGAAGAACATAATGATTACGCGATATATTACATTCAAGCCTTAAAACAATTGAAAGTAGGCTGCACTGTTTAATGTAATAGAAACGTTGAACATTGCACATTTTGCTTAGTCTATTTCCAAGCTGATTCGCATTGAGTCCTTTATTGTCATTATTCTTTGTTCCGAAGACTTTATCGTGATGATGAATTTTCATCAAGCTTTCCTAGGGAATGGTTAATGTAGATGGTACGTTTAGGCGCTTATGTTTGGGATTGTAATAAATGTTCCCTTTGAGCCTTATCTGATGTGCTATAATGGCATTACGCTGTCTGCTTTCTCCGTTCAGAACGGGTATGGGCTTTATTGCTGATTGGTTTCTTCCTCGTTGTTTTGTTGATCTTTGGCAGCCATTGTCTTGCTGCTACACCCCCGGCTGCCAAAAGGCCGTGAACAGGTTCTGTCCGCGGACATTTCTCAGCCTGCCTCTGTTCCCTAGCAATCTGCCTGGTCATTGGTAGCGAGGACGACTTCCGAGCCGGTATAATGTTCAGTGACGGCAATATCATGAGCCCTTCTCCTTTTTCATCCGGGCTTGGGTTCTGCAAAGGCGGAGTGAAGTGAAAAGTGAAAAATTATAAATGTGACATTAGAAAATTTTACCTCAAAGTCCTGAGGGGATCGGGATCGGTCAGATCTGGGTTAAATTATGTTAGCTGATCGCTTCAGGACATAAAACGTCCTTAAAGCAGCGATTGGACTCTGCTCTTAGCGTTTCAGTTGGATCCGAGAATTTATTTGTTCCTGCTCTACATGACGCGGAGTCACAGTGTTGCTGTTTATCGAGGCTTATTGTGAAATTCCGTTTGTTGTCTATTAGCCGAAAAAGAATGCAATTTAAATGATCATTTTGGCGATCTTAATCTTTGCAATAGTTTGATTGCATTACATACAGGATGATCCACGTTGCGTGAACTATTTTTTCTCTTCATTGCCAGATATCACTCAACCAACGTCATAATTTATTTTCCTTCATCTTCGGTTTCCTTAATTGTCATTCGGAATTGCTCAGAAGGTAGACGATGTGATACAAATGTCCCCTCATGTTCTCTTCAGTGATTGTTGTGTAACAGTGGTCCAAAATCCTCCTTTCTCTGGGTTTTTCAGTAGTGTCTTTATCCTATGCATAACTGCCATATAAAGCGTTTGTAGGTTTGTCCACCCCTGTAGCGAAAGTTGGCAGAAAGCGAAAGTTCGACACCTGATGATGTCAGTTATGTCGGCTCATGCACCTAAGCTGCATTTACATTTTCGTTTTAGGAGATTCTTCCTGAGTGTCGGATATCCGGCGGTGTTAGCAACCTCAGCTTCTCGTTTCGTGGCCATGACGTTATCCGTGAAGCCCTTCACAGCGTTTTTCTCTATCATGCCACCAAGGTAAGCGTGCTTAATTTCCTTTGGTACGTTCAATAGTCGTGACAGCGTGCCACGTAAAATGTATCCAGATACATGATAGCATTTTGGAATAGGCTCATCCATGAACAGTAATATGTTTTTTGTATGCCTTGGTAGACCACAGCAGATCATCAAGCTGTATGTCTGTCATGTAATATCTGCACTGTTGGTTCTTTCTCTGCTTTTCTTATCGTTCGTTCGGTGCTTCTGTTACTCTTCACACATTTTGCATAAATATAAATTTTTATATTTGTCTAAGAGATACTTTGTATAAGTGCTAAGGCTTTGACTAAACGCAGAGTCGCTACGCTGATAATTTATAAATTAAAATTTTCTAATAACGGCACTAAACTTGTCTTTGTGGTAATTTCCTAGTTCACAAGAACCAGCAGCTTCGGCCTGCAGCGTTCAAAAATAGCATCCAATTTTACTTTGAAAAAAATGTTTAGTTTGTGATGTAATTCGAAGTGTCATTTAGCGGTTTATTAATCCAGTAAATCATTCAAATGGTGTCATGTTAAATGAACTGTAATTTTGCTGTTTTAACAACCCTTACACACGGCGAATATTTCAGGCAGGAATGGACATGGGAATTGTAAATGCTGGAAATCTTCCGGTGTATAGTGAAATTAACCCCGAGCTGTTGAGGCTGTGTGAAGATCTGGTGTGGAACAGAGACAGCATGGCGACCGATCATCTGTTGACATATGCGCAGAAACACGGAAAATCAAAAAAGTCAGCTGAGATCAGCGCGGAATGGCGCACCCTGCCGCTCGAGAAGAGGATAGAGTATTCCCTTGTGCATGGGTCAAGTGAGTTTATCGTAGAAGACATGAGCGAAGCGCGGCTGAAGTATCCATCGTCGCTGAACATCGTCGAAGGTCCTCTTATGGCGGTATTTGAGCGATTTGCGTTTTGAGCGTTAGACTGCATTGTTTACTGGGCTGTTCAGGGAATGACGGTGGTCGGTGATCTTTTCGGATCCGGCAAGATGTTTCTGCCTCAGGTTGTGCGCTCTGCTCGAGTAATGAAAAAGGCAGTTGACTACTTGGTGCCGTTCATAGAAGAGGAGAAAAGGCTGAGCAGCAAAGCGAATGGCCTATGCAATGACAATTGTTTGAGCGTGAGTGTATAGTCACATTTTATGGTCGATAATGTTGCTTGGCTCCATTTAGAGTCAGTATTTCTTTATATTGCTAGGAAACGTTCAGCGTAATCTCAGGAGCTGTCGAAATATATGCGTAGCTTATTAACATTGCAATCACTATCATTATACATGACATGCTTCAAACAGATAATTTTTAATATTTCTTCAGAGGTAGTGTAACTGCACCATACTGATACAAGATCGACGTTGCTCAGTCGGTAGAACGTCGGATTCGGAATCTCGAGGTTTCGCATTAGAGCTCTGGCCAGGTCACTTGCTTTTTTCCTTCTGAGGTAGATAAAAAAATTTTTCTCTGCGGTAAGGAAGCAGAAGACCACAGGTTATGATTGTTAGGTTTTAATTTTAAAAATAGTGCATTCCTCGTTGATGACATAAAGATGGAGATCAGAGCCGCGCCATAATCATCACAAGCAAGCTAAGATGCAAAATTGGAGATGCTGTCTGACTTTACTGCTTCCGAGACCTGAAATTATAAGCGTTCGTCGAGACCGACTCATTGGCTGAAATTCAGGATTCACCGTTTCATATATTACATGGCAAGCAGGCAGAACCTAAAGCTAAAACAAGGAATCGGATTCCCTGACGAAGCATAGTGCAGCGCATTCATACTTTCCCTCTAACCTCTACGACAGCCACGCCTGTATCGACTAACATCTCAGTGCTGACCTGGAGTTTACTGACCCCTCATTCTTAAATCCAAATCCCTGTACGAGAAGGAAAGTGACTATGAGTTCTAGCGGTAGGATTATTGGCCATCGTTCATATTTGTCATCGGATTGAACATGGCGAAGTAATTTGACACACTGTCTATCTCCTGGTTGTAAGATTTCGTTTACATTATAATTGTTGTGGTGTGTTCAGGTAAGAAGGAGGTTTCAACCGGCTTGTCTGTCTCCTTGAGCTAGTTTAAATAAATTGTGCACCAGTTTTTAATTATTGGTTTGCTTTTAGCAATCTTATCGGGGAACTGTTGTACTAGCAACCG